GCCTGGCAAGCCCTGTCAGGAATCAAGAAAAAACCTCAATTATTTCTTGTAGGATCCCTGTGATACTTTCCTATTGGGTCTAGTTTGGAAAGAGCCGGACAATCGCAGCATTAGAAGCGAATGTGAAAGTACTGCTATAGCAGATGATATTTTCACACATGAACACAATAGCAAGATAATGATAACACAAAAGCCAAACAATCTCATGATTGCATTCTGCACATATCCACTAATAAAGCAATATTACATTATCATTGCTTTTTTTGCATATGCGCCATTTCAGCGCAACGGCACATGTCTTACACCAAATGTTTCCCTCTCATGCAAAAAAATCAAACAAAGTAAAATTTATACCATACTTTCATCCAGTGCAAACAAATTTGTGCCCCATACCTTACAAATAAGACCTAAATCTACTGCAATAGCAATCTTAGTCATGACAAAGAAGTGCCACCGGCAAAATGCATTGTGGGTAAATGTGTCTCCAATCGCGAGAATGAACCACAATTGATTTCGGAGAGAGAGGTTGGATGGCTTGGGACATTACAACATCCTCCCTGTAGCTGGGACCGGGATGCCCAGCTAGATAGACTTTTGATCATTACTGTGATTTCATAAGAAAAGTTTCACCAGCACACAGATAGGATGGGAGGGGTTTTAATTTAATATATTTACACACAAACACACACAACACATACACACACACCATATATACTTGACTAAAAGTCTGTTTAAAATAAAGTACCACTAACCGCTAATCCACGGTGCCCTGGGGGACCCGGGAGTCCAGGTTGCCCTGCATTCCCCTACAAAAGAGAAAAAGAAAAGGTAACAAAGAATGCAGCAGAGATTATTAGCACACAGCCAGGTTGGACATTGTGGTAGTACTTGTGTTTTGTTTTTTTTCCACGTTAAAAATAAAACAACCAACGCTCAAGTAAGAGTGGACAACCATTTTCAGACTGAGGGCCACAGTCAATCCCGGAGAAGTTTTTGGTAGCTGCATACCAGTGGTGGATGTGGTCAAAGATAAAAGGGTGCCACTAAAAATACCAGCCTATTTTGGTTTAGTTCTCTTACCTATGGCTCTACGCCAGGGGTCAACAAAGTATGGGCTCCCAGGGCTATTTGGAGGGACAGATGTTAGAAATTGCCCTCCAATGCCCTCTAGGCAAGCCTTTTTGTCATGCTTTGGGTTTCTCTTTAGAAAGTCTTCTTTTTAATGGGAAGTAAACAGGAATTCTAGTTGTTGGAAAAGTCCTCTCCTTGGCCTAAAATGGCCCATGGAAGTCTGCAAAGATGCATACAATGCACTCTAGAAAGGAAAGGAGCAGAAGGGGTGAAATCTTCCCCTTCCCAGTAGGCTGAACTAAAAGCAAACTACTGCAGTCTCTCCTAATTTGTGTGTCCTTCTTCATTCATAACTTTTGCTATCCTGACCATCTTCTGATGCTGCTTGGACACAACATGTCTCAGTTTTCATCTGTGAAATGTTGGAGGGTATAATGTTTTACTGGTGGAGAGAGGGAATCATTTTCCAAAAAGTCATGGGGTGCATTTGTCTGAGAGCACAGACAAAAATTCATGCTACTCCAACCTGCTTTGTAGTTCTTAAGGACATCTTACCTTTACTCCTGGGATGCCAGGGGTACCATCTTTACCATCAATGCCAGGAAGACCCTATAAAAGAAGAGGGCAATGGGAGAGGGAGAGAGAATATTATGTTTCGCTATCCATTAATGCCAGTTTGGACATCAACCTCCCTCAACATCAAGCAAGCTTCCCTCCATTCTTCTCCCCAAACCCAATTGGGATTAAAGACAGGGAAATGAGATACTTACATTTCCTCCCTTGGGCCCAATATCTCCTTGAGGGCCCCTGAAACCACGAGCACCCTAAAAGTGACAAACACAACCCCTTTTGTCAGGAAACTAATGAAGATGAGAAGACGAGAGTCAAGAAATCCTCCCACCACCATCTTGCTCTGTTTTATACAATGCCTGAAATTTCACAGCACCCTCAAAAGAGTTAGCAATACATTCAGTTTGGAGAAAAATCAAAGGATGGATTTGGGGTACAAGGCAAAACGGAGGTACGTGGATACCAAATTTGTTTGGGTTGTCCATCTTCCATAAACCCAACAGTACAAAGCAAAGTGAAAGCTCCTCTCTGAAGACTTAATCCAGCCTTAATCCAAGCCAATAATGGGAGTTGTAGTCCATTACATCTTAGAAGAGACTGAGTTGAGGAGGTCTTCTTTAATGATGCCCAGGGCTGCTGGCTAAATGAAACTTCTATTTATTCCTTGCTATCGCTATTCAGAAATATACTACATCAATAAATGGAAGTTTCATTTAGCCGGTAGCACTAACAGCAAAGCATCTTGAAATAGAAATAGAGTCCAGAAACAGAAAACTTGACAGAGGGTCTAGACTCTAGAGTATATTTATAGGACTTCAATTCCCATCCAGTCCCATCAATTGTCAGGAATACTTGGACTTGAAGTTCAATGGCAGAAGAGTGAGAACACCTAATCTAGACCATACATTTAGCAATGTATGTAAAAGAAGTGCTCCCTCAAGTGGTGAAAGATGTCTGTTTGTCACAGCATCTGCTTTTCCTTACTTCCCTAGCTTGCATTTAGCATGCTTTCTTGTGAACAGGCAATGGAAGGGAAGTACTGATATACAATTCTGATTATTGAGGTATGCATGTCTGAGAGGAATGGGTATTAGAGGGGAAAAACAGGTTGATCACAAAGAATACAAATTCTCTTTAATTTATGGTTTGACCCTAAGTGGAGCTTATTATAATCCAAACAGGCATTTCTTTTGCATTCTAATGTGAAAGCATTAGGAAAGTTTAGACCCAGACATTCTCTGAGCAGATGGAAGCCTGGAAGGGAGGCTTGGAGGAACTACACAACAAGGTATGTGTGCCTGGTGAGTTTTGTGGGGAGGATATCTGGATAAACTTTAAGTAGTGTAACACGCAATGCCATGTGAAACTCTGGCTAACCCCTCCAAGAATAGCAGGAGTGCTGGAATCTAGTAATCCCTTTTGCACCAAATAAAAGTCAACATGCATCTTTGTCTTGACTATGCTGGAGTTAATGAACAGCTGGGAGGGAATGGAGGAAAATGTGGATTTTACTTAGCTTCAGCCTGCAATGAAATAAGGCAAAGGGGACAGCTTTAATATTCAACACAAAACCTTTTTTACTCACAAGGTCTCCCTTCTCGCCAGCCTGTCCAGGTGGTCCCCTGGGACCTTCTTCGCCCTGCAAGGAAGAGTTGAGGGTTAAGGAGAAAAAGAGAAAGAAAGATTCTGAGAAAAGGGAATAATCCAATACAGATTCAAATTATTTAGCAGGGAAAGACCCCAGGACAGGAAAAAATCCACAGCAAAATGAGAGAAGGGATTTCCCCTCCATCTCTAGTGCCAGTCTGGGATGTCAAGAGGTACAAACATGGGACCAAAGGGAAACCTAAAAGGTAAATCAGGGAAACATGAAAAGAATCCAAAAGTCAGTTAAGAACTTACCGGAGGTCCTGCAGCGCCAATGGTTCCTATCATGCCTTTATAACCACGGGGACCCTAAGAAAACATTGCACAAAGAGAAGCGACATCGTGAAATTTTAAAGCTGCTGAGAAAGTGTTGGGAAGAGGGTTCAGCCCTTTGGAAAGCCCTTTAAAGTTTGGACCAAAAGCCAGAGCAGATTTTTATCCTACGGCCAAGGTGACGCCAGCCACTGCTTCCTATGAGAGGCAACCATTTTCTACTAGCCGATTCACCTACCGTTTCTCCTTTAGGCCCTTCCATTCCAGGATATCCCCTTAAACCTTGGGGTCCCTGAGAAAGAGAGAAAGAATAAAAGAATGAAAAATCCAACCTGGATTAAGAATCTTGTTTTCAGGGGGTCCTTTCACACTACACAATTATAGCTTTATACGTGGCATGGTGGTTTGAGTGCTGGACTGGGACTCTGGAAACCAGGGTTCGATTCCCAGCTCAGCCATAAAACCCACTGGGTGACCTTGGGCAAGTCACATTCTCTCAGCCTCAAGGGGAGGCAATGGCAAACCACCTCTGAAAAATTCTTGCCAAGAAAAACCCCATGATAGGATCTCCTTAGGATTGCCATAAGTTGGAAATGACTTGAAGGCACACAACAACAGCAACAACAACAGTGTGTCACCAGGCCACAAACCCCAGGATTCCACAGGATGTCGGCATGGCACTTAAAGCAGAATATTGCAGTTTATTTGTGTAGTGTGAATGGGCCCCAGCAAGTCATATCTTGTAGTTAAAGTCTTTGAACCTCTAAGTCCTATGTCCCTGGCCCCTTGCCTCATCTGTCACCTTGGATAAAAATCCAACTATCGATGGAGCGTTTTGGAAGCCATTGTCCAAAAATATGAATCACTACCTGCCTTGCCTCCTTTGGTTCTGCCTGATTCTCTCTGATTCTCTTCTAAAGCTGACACCTTGTGCTCCCAATCCATGCAAGACCTTAGCTTAATAATGATATTAGCTCAATAGCTCATTGCATTTATTCAAGCAAAGGGGGGGAAATCCACTGACTCTAAAACACACACACAAACACACAGAGAGAGTTTCTGCCTCTTCATTTGGGTTTATCATCAACGCTGAATAGCTTTTTAATTAACAAGCTGCACCAAGAAGGTGATTTCAGGAGACACTGAGAGCAAAATGCCTCAATGGTAATACGATAAACGGAGAAGGATTTGTCGAATGCAATGTTCCAGATTGCCTCACGTCACTCACTTGCCCTTGATCCTATACAGTCTGGCTCAGAGTTTGGAAAAAGTTATTTTGGGGGATGATAGTTCCCCAAGTGTGGGGCTTGTACTCCAAAATAGTAACTTTCCCAAGTTCTGGTCTGCCTACTTGCCAATCCACATCTCACATTTAGTAACAGGGAAGCCATCCATCTTTGGCCCCACATGTCCTGCTTTTCATTCATGAAATGTAGGAAGGCATGGGATCCAGTTTAGGGGTTTGAGCATTGGACTATGACTCTGGAGGCCAAGGTTCGAATCCCTGCTTGGCCATGGAAACCCACTGCCTTGGGCAAGTCACACTGTCTGTGCCTCAGAGGAAGGCACGTCTCAAACAAATCTTGCCAAGAAAACCCTGTGGTAGATTAGCCTTAGGGTCACCATAAGCCAGAAATGACTTGAAGGCACACAATAACAATGGGTTCTTGTGAGCCAAATGAGTCCAGGGAGCGGGACACTCTGTCCTAGGTGATCCTAGCCACTGATATTTTGCTTTGGGACAATGGATTTGGCCAAAGGTCTGGATTGCCACTCAAGTCTCGACTCTCCATTTCCCCAAGCACTGCCCTTTTCCACAGGCATCCACACCGCACCCTAGAGAACAGACCTAATCGAACCCCTTCTTTAAGCAAGTAAATAAATGAAGAAACAGAAATAAATACGTTACGGGAGGGCCAGGAATGCCTTGTTCTCCAGAGAGGCCGATGTCACCCTTCGGGCCCTGCAGAAATGTTTTTAAAATGGTTAGACATCAGAGCTAAAGGCAAACCAAACCAGTTTTGAAAGATGGTCCCAAAATTGGAAGTCTGATACAGTAATTGATAGAAAATGTTGCACTCTGCCCTAAATATTCCAGGAGGATCCATTCCTAGATCTTCCCCCACTCTTTTCCCAATTACTCAGGACCATCTTTTTGTTTCCTCTTGGTAATGCTATACTAATCTCTAATAGTCTCTTCTCCATTGTAACTATTTTTTTCATACCCATCTGTCTTGTCTCTTCTTCTGTCTCACCTTCATCCAACACCCAGTATACAGAGAATATTAATTCAGGTGTATGCAGTTTTATCTGCAGCAATATAATATTTTTTCACATTCATAACATATATCATTTTATATGCAATTAAATATGAGACATATGTGCAAATGCATATATATTTTTCAGCTATACTTTCCTTCAGCCTATATTCTGCTGGGCAATTAAGTGCAAATGAAGTGGCAACAGATGTAGGTTTGAAACCCATTGGTCATCCAAAATCCCTGCTTAATGTTAAACAAGCCTTTCAGCCTTCATAGTTAGACACTTCTGCAACAAGACCATCACAAATACAGTGAGTGATAACATGCGGAACTGAGCCAGTGTGATGTGCTAGTTTGAGCGTTGGACTAGGACTCAGGGAGACCCGAGTTCAAATCCCTGCTCAGCCTTGGAAAGCAACTGGGTGACCTTGTGCAAGTCACAGACTCTCAACCAGAGGAAGGGAAGGACAAATATTCTCTGAGTAGATGTAGCCAAGAAAGCCCTTTGATGGGGTTGCCACAAGTTGGGGTTGACTTGAGGACACACAAAAGCAACACAGTGTGGAAGAGACCTTGGATGGACTCACCGGCCTGCCTTGTCTTCCAGGTTCCCCCAGGGCTCCAGGGCGGCCTCTGTGTCCCTAAAGAGTAGCAGATATCACATTCAACATTTGCCTTTTTGATGAGAAAGCCATTTCCCCAGAAGAGGATCCCAACTCTCCAACCTCATGGACTGGTTGCATGAGGTTTGAACAACATACAAAGAGAAGATATCTAGGTACATCCTAATGTCCTGACATGTCTCCATGGAATTTTTCCTTCTTCACCAACTTGTTCAATATACTCCAAAAGTGATCTCTTTTCCAACTTGTGCAAGGTTTGCTAAGGGTGATTGCTAATTCTTGACCAACTAAACTCAATATCCCTTGGTATGTAGCTATATTACCTGCCTTAGAAGAGCATCCTGAGATCCTGGACTATGAACAGTACAATTAGCAAGATCCAAACCACCACAGCAAAATGTTTTTAAAAGGCTGAGCCTTACCTTTATGCCCTGTAACCCCTGAGGTCCTTTGGGTCCAGGTGGGCAATTCGTTGGACACTGTAAGAGAAGACCAGTGGGTGGGAAGGGAGAAGAAATTAATGAACTCCAGTAAAATCCAGAAATCCAGAGTGGATTCGCCATGTCCCTGACATGACGTCTCTATCTCCCTTCCTGCTGGATCTGACCAAAGGCCTCTCTGGTCAAAGATCCCACTCCCACTGTGGCCAACCAGACACTTATAAGACCATGAGCAGGACATAAGTCTAACAGGTACTGGTACTCATGTTACCCAGCAATTGGTATTGAGAGGCAACTGCCTCTAATCCTAGATACAGGGCAGTGGTTCCTAAACTTTCATCCTGCAAATGTTTTGAAGTTCATCTCCCAAACTGGCTATGGCATCTGGAAGCTGAATTCCCCAACACCTGCAGGATCAAAGATTGGGAACCACTGATGAAAGGGATGCCCAGCATGACAACCAACCATTGACAGACATGTACAGGAAGTCCTAAAAAATCCATGGTAAGAAATGGGCAAGTGATACTTGTGCATAGGGAGGAAAGTAATGCTTTGGCTACTCCTTATTTATTTTTAAGAAAGGGACAGTGTTGTTTCCTAGTTGCCCCCAAACCGTTGGTAGCTGGTGGCTTCCATGTACGCAGTGAAATCACCCTGAAACTGAACTGTAAAGCAACTCTTCAAAGTGCTGGACCTTGTCCCAAAACAGATTTCAGCCTCTTGAACAGCTCTTCTAAATTTTATATATATCCAAGAGCAGATTGGTTGTCTCATTGGCAGAGAAGTCACTAACTGCCAGTGC